TCTAGTTGAGTTTTTACCAAAAAATTATATTTTGGTTTCATCTGACCATCTAAATGCTCTCTAGCAAACTTCAGACGGGCCTGGACATGTACTGGCTTAAGCAGGGGGACACGTCTGGCACTGCAGGATTTGAGTCCCTGGCGGCGTAGTGTGTTACTGATGGTAGCCTTTGTTACTTTGGTCCCAGCTCTCTGCAGGTCATTGACTAGGTCCCCCCGTGTGGTTCTGGTATTTTTGCTCACCGTTCTTGTGATCATTTTGACCCCACGGGGTGAGATCTTGCGTGGAGCCCCAGATCGAGGGAGATTATCAGTGGTCTTGTATGTCTTCCATTTTCTAATAATGGCTCCCACAGTTGATTTCTTCACACCAAGCTGCTTACCTATTGCAGATTCAGTCTTCCCAGCCTGGTGCAGGTCTACAATTTGTTTCTGGTGTCCTTTGACAGCTCTTTGGTCTTGGCCATAGTGGAGTTTGGAGTGTGACTGTTTGAGGTTGTGGACAGGTGTCTTTTATACTGATAAAGAGTTTAAACAGGTGCCATTAATACAGTTAACAAGTGGAGGACAGAGGAGGCTCTTAAAGAAGAAGTTACAGGTCCGTGAGAGCCAGAAATCTTGTTTGTTTGTAGGTGACCAAATACTTATTTTCCACCATAATTTGCAAATAAATTCTTTAAAAATCAGACAATGTGATTTTCTGGATTTTTTTTTTCTCATTTTGTCTCTCATGGTTGATGTATACCTAGGATGAAAATTACAGGCCTCTTTCATCTTTTTAAGTGGGAGAACTTGCACAATTGTTGGTTGACTAAATACATTTTTGCCCCACTGTATGTGGATTTTGCATCCACGAGGAAAGCATGGATGTATAATACATTAGCAAAAATGTCTGTGTATGAGACATAAGCTTACTGGACTCAACCAGCCCAGAATGCATTGCGTGTTTTCAGACTGTCCCATGGCGGACAGGTATAATAATTCAAATTTGGCAAGTGAGGTTAAAGAGCTGTTAATGACAGGAGCTTGTATATATAATCTACTGTAGAAAACATATTTAACACTACAATATGTAATACCATTAATTTGCCTTAGAATAATACTGGTAATATTGATTTACATTTGTAAAACATTTTTTTTAACCAGCACTAGCTCAGAAAAAAATGCAGTACATACTGATTGAGGATGTTGTAGGCAGTACAATCATCATTCGTCTAAAGTGGATTTTTGTGTCTATTATTATTATTATTTTTCTATGTCCCACTTGTCTGAGTATCATTGAGGTACACCCCCATAACCTCGCTCTAGTTCATCATTTATTTCATAGCATGTTTAAAGCAGAGTCCTGCATCGGGTCGGGCGGGTTCGGTATTGCACGTCGCGGGTACGGGGCGGGTCTTGAAAATCCGACCCGTGCAGGACTCTAGTTAAAGGTCAATGCCTCTGTATTGTCCACAAAAACTGTAATTCATTGATGTGTGCTTTCATTGTACTACAGAAGGCGTAAAGAGAATATTGATATTTATTGACAAGGATTGTATAGACTTGAAAAACTGAATAAAAATAGAGAAAGTCTTTATGGTTCACATCCTTACCTGTGGCTCTGGGTCACATGACATCCCGCTCTTTCTCTTCTTGCCTTTCTTCACCAGCTGATTCTTCTCCGGCCTTGTCGACACAGAGACAGATAAATACTTTGATGGGAGAACAGGACATTCATCATGATCTCTGTGAGTGGGATGTAACTTCTGTGTGAGCTCACCTCGCTGCAGACGTCTTCACAGCACTCCTCCTCTTTTTCTTCTCCTCTTCCTCCTTCCCCTCTCCATCCCTCTGCGCCTCCTTCCTCTTCTCCTCAGCTCCACGCTCTTTACCAGCAGCCTTCAACGTCTGAGGAATTTCCTTTCTCCCAGCCTTTCCTTCGTTCACCTGTTCCTCGACGTTTAAATCTTCTTCCAAGGCAGTGCTGTGAAGAGGGTTGCCTAGGAAATACAAGAGTTAGTCTATTGTTCTTAGGTGTGATTAGGTTTTTCCAACTTTGGAAAGGCAAGGTATGTTTACAAGTTTTTGTCTCGTAAATGTTTTCTCTGGAATGTACCACTTGTTTGAGATAATATCCTGCTTTTGTCTTTTTCTTTTAAGTTTAATCTCCAATTTATAATGCAGCAACCATATGAAAGTGTTGTGTTGGGCTTTCAAAAATCCTTGGAATTAAAAAGTTATTAAATTCAAATGGTTTATTCCTTTTATCTTTACTAACAAGAGAGAATTTTTTTTCTATTAAACCCCTCGAAGACAAATAGTGTGTTTTAAATGAAATAGTGACACACACACTTTATAATGATATAGCTGACTTACCATAGTTTAGCTGCAGTCCCTCCAGGAAGCTAGCTCTGTCTATAGCTGACAGGTTGGGAGAATCTGTGTTCTCATTAGACGAACCTTTCTGGATTTCAACAAAGCAGAGGATAAGAAAATGTTCATCATTCAAATATTTTATCACGTTAGGCCCTTTCACATCGCAGTACTTTTCCACTTTAGTTCCGATATAGTTCCGAAATGTTGCGTTTACACCAAAAAAATCCGGAACGAAAATTAGTTCATGAGAACCTTTTTACCCCCTTTTCCGTCCCTGCTAGAGAGCAGGAACTTTCGTGGGAGAAAAAGGTTCCTATTTCTGATTGGCTGGGCGGATGGAAAACCATGCCCCGTAAAACTCCCCAAAAGTTTTGTGAAGCCGCCATTTTATTATTGCATTAGCATTATTAGCATTAGCATTAACCCAGCGCACTTATGGCAACACAAAAGAAAACGTGGGAGCGGTGGAGATGAGGAGGTGTCGGTGTTCTGGCGATGTACTCGGAAGGCTTCAGTAGAAGCTGCTGGGAGTCCCAGCGGCTTCTACTGAAGCCAGTCCCCAACTCCGGGGACTTCCGGCCGGGGACTTCGGGTGGCAGTATAGAGTGGCGAAGTCCCTCCCCTTCCGGTGGACCTCCATGGGACCTTATTTCGGAAAGATTATGTATTGAAGTCAATGGAGAGAGAACAATTAACTTTCGATCCCGTTTGAATTGTGCCACGAATTACACATACACTGAACAAAAATATAAACGCAACACTTTTGTTTTTGCTCCCATTTTTCATGAGATGAACTCAAAGATCTATAACATTTTCTATATACACAAAATAACCATTTCTCTCAAATATTGTTCACAAATCTGAAAAAATCTGTGATAGTGAGCACTTCTCCTTTGCCGAGATAATCCATCCCACCTCACAGGTGTGGCATATCAAGATGCTGATTAGACAGCATGATTATTGCACAGGTGTGCCTTAGGCTGGCCACAATAAAAGGCCACTCTGAAACGTGCAGTTTTGCTTTAATGGGGGGGTCTGAAAACCCTAGGGTTAAACCCTAACCCTAACATGTCACCCATCTCCTTCGCATAGAGTTGATCAGGTTGTTGATTGTGGCCTGTGGAACGTTGATCCACTCCTNTTCTCCCAATCCTCTTCTGGATCATCTAAATGCTCTCTAGCAAACTTCAGACGGGCCTGGACATGTACTGGCTTAAGCAGGGGGACATGTCTGGCACTGGCAGTGCCAGACATGTCCCCCTGCTTAAGCCAGTACATGTCCAGGCCCGTCTGAAGTTTGCTAGAGAGCATTTAGATGATCCAGAAGAGGATTGGGAGAATGTCATATGGTCAGATGAAACCAAAATAGAACTTTTTGGTAAAAACTCAACTAGACGTGTTTGGAGGACAAAGAATGCTGAGTTGCATCCAAAGAACACCATACCTACTGTGAAACATGGGGGTGGAAACATCATGCTTTGGGGCTGTTTTTCTGCAAAGGGACCAGGACGACTGATCCGTGTAAAGGAAAGAATGAATGGGGCCATGTATCGTGAGATTTTGAGTGACAACCTCCTTCCATCAGCAAGGGCATTGAAGATGAAACGTGGCTGGGTCTTTCAGCATGACAATGATCCCAAACACACCGCCCGGGCAATGAAGGAGTGGCTTCGTAAGAAGCATTTTAAGGTCCTGGAGTGGCCTAGCCAGTCTCCAGATCTCAACCCCATAGAAAATCTTTGGAGAGAGTTGAAAGTCTGTGTTGCCCAGCGACAGCCCCAAAACATCACTGCTCTAGAGGAGATCTGCATGGAGGAATGGGCCAAAATACCAGCAACAGTGTGTGAAAACCTTGTGAAGACTTACAGAAAACTTTTGACCTCTGTCATTGCCAACAAAGGGTATATAACAAAGTATTGAGATGAACTTTTGTTATTGACCAAATACTTATTTTCCACCATAATTTGCAAATAAATTCTTTAAAAATCAGACAATGTGATTTTCTGGATTTTTTTTTCTCATTTTGTCTCTCATAGTTGAAGTGTACCTAGGATGAAAATTACAGGCCTCTCATCTTTTTAAGTGGGAGAACTTTCACAATTGGTGCCTGACTAAATACTTTTTTGCCCCACTGTACATTCAGAGTGTATTACATACTCAAATGTACGTCAGTGTCAGTGTCTCCAATACCAAGGGTAGTGTCTGTAGTTTACAATAATTGTGATAATGACGTTGTGAAAGTAGCATTAGATAATTAGGAAGGGAACTTTTTGTATCAGTACTCGAGTTGAAAAGGTATGACGATGAACTGTTTCTTGTTTTTTTCCTCCTTAGGAGCAGTCTGACTCTGGTGGCGCTCAACAGAGACGTAAGAGGGTGCTGTCCTCTGAGGAAGAGGATGGGGGAGAGGGGAGGAGCTGGGTACGGACTAACTCCTGGAGTCAGATACTTGCATCAGCAGCCAGGAATTTCAAATTAAATTGTGACTTTTTCTCATATTATTGACTCAGTGCCCAAGTCCAAAGACGGCCAGGTTCTATCGTTTGGGCAGAAGCAGAAAGTCTTCATCGGAGAAGTCGAAATCTAAGAAGTCTTCATCAGGTAAGAGAAAAAAGTGTTAAGTTTCAACCCTGTTAAAAATAATGGTTTGACATTTTGGGAGTTATACTTATGTGCTCTGGTGTCAAGAGATGGATACGAATAATATAATAATATTAAATAAAAAACAGAAATCTTAAAATATTTTTTTTTACGAGATATGTTAAAGTACTGTAAAAAGAACATAAATAGAAAATACAAAAATTATAATAAAGATAATATGAAATCTTCTAACATACATATAGAAAAATACAAGAAATATATTTAAAAGGTCATATAAAATACTTTAACAATAACAAAAATATATAATAGAAAATGTTCAATAAAAATATGAAAACAATGCTGTAAAAACACTATAATAAGAAAATCAATAAAATAAAATAGAAATGTGAAAAGCTGCTTTTAGAAAAAATATAGAAACAAAACATTAAAATAAAAAACTGAATAAGGTAATATAACAAAAACATAAATATAAAATAAAAAAATACCTATATAAAGACTAGTAACAAATATATAATAGAACATTTACTATATAAATACTGTAAATAGAACATAAATATAGAGAGTAAAAATAAAACTCTAAAAATACTACAACAAATAGGTAAAATAAAACCGTTTTTTAGAATGAGAATTAATAGCACCCTCATATCCAAACCTTCCCTATGAAGCTGGAGCTTGGAGGCCTTTAGCTTAGCATTAGCTAGTTTTTTCCAGTCTTCATGCCAAGCTAAGTTTATTTAGCTTTGCATCTAATTCTCAGCAAGAAAGCATTTTCTTTTAAGGTGATCCATATTCAATATTTGCTGCATTCTGCATCCTCAATCAGTATGTACAGCAAACTGAAAAGCTCTTATTACAAATGCAACCAGTTTGTGACAGTAGTTGAGACTTTTATTTTATTATACATCACAACATATATTGTGCACGAGATCAACGCTAATGCCCTGGATCATTTTTAGGCAGTGCATCTCCTGAACCAGATATGGCCAGCACTGATAAACAGAGGAAGAGGCAGAAGGAGGGCCAGGGGGGGACACAGTTAGAGGTGGTGCTGGAAGCCTTCCTGGACTTCTGTGACCAGTACAGGTAAACTCCAGTCAAATCATTTCACCACCAACACTCCTTACATTTTAATACTTTTTATTGCAAGTTTTGCAGTTGAAGAAGTGAACCTTTTGTGTTTGTGTTTCAGGGAGTCTTTGGAGTCCAACACTTTGAAAGAGTGTGTTGATTCTTTCTCCTCCAATGTGGAAAATCAGCTCTTAGAAAAGGTCAGATAACAGAATGTAGTGCAGAGTTACAACCATATTTCTAACTGTTGAGGCATTTTTCCTTCACATAAGAAATGACAAATCTGTTGTAAAACAGGAAGACAGTGCTCTGTTTTTTTAAAGCTTTTGAATAATTATTATCTTTAGGGAAATATGCATTAATTCCACCAAAGTATTTTTTCCTCATAAAATAAGCGTTAAACATCAAAACAGAGGTGAACAAAATGAATTGATATCAGGATTTTAATCAAAGACATATTCTGTACAGGGTTTCCCACACATTGACTATGCCCAGGTATATTAACCGCCGACCAAGTATATTTCGCGACCCTTTTATTTTTTAAATTTATTTATTTTTATTCATCCGTGACAACGACGCCATCTGCGATCGATTAACTTGTGGACAATGATCCCTCGCTTCACGCCTCCTGTACCCAGTCACGGACTGGCCATCGGGAGGACCGGGGGGTTTCCCGATGAACTGGCCTGTTAAGTGGCCTGCCTCACACAGGGTGACTGGCTGTCTATATGATGTGGCCTGCCGACATGGCCACTGTCATACAGATCATAAATCAAAGCCCTTGATTGGTCTCTGTGTGTCAT